CTAAACCTACCACAGAATTGGAAAATTTTCTTCTAGTTTCTAGTGCCATTTTCTTTGCGGAGTTCATCATATGCGCCCGCCAGTGCTAATCTTGTTTTAATAACAAATTTTTAATTTAAATTATATGATAGGTAAATAAGTTAAGAGATAAAAAAAAAAGATATTTTTAATGATGCAATTAAAATTAAAAAAATCTACACTTAATTAAAAAATTTTATGGCTAATGGTTTAAATAAATTAGTGATAATTTTTTTTAATAAAAATAAAGTTATGAGTTTGACTTATATAACATAAAAGTGACATGAGTTAGTAAATAAAGCAAATTGTCTCTTATTGTGCAATATAATAGTAATTTTTTTACATTTAAATGCTTGTAACATATAATTCAAAATTAAGAGTTAAACAACTAAGTCTCATATCATGTCAACATCTAAATGTAAAGAAATTGCCAAGCAAAAAAAAAAAAAAAAAAAGACCATTGTTTAGTTTACATATCTGCAAGTGATTTTATCATTAACCCAAGAACTTGTTTACTCAAATTCAAGTATTTAGAGGCATCTGTAGTAATTGTTGTATTGAATAAGGTGCATATATATCAAAGTTAAGACTTTGGTTTTAATCCTTGTAAATCCTCCCTTCCCTTATATTCCTCCCATGTTAAAAAAAAAAAAAATTCACGTATTTAGGGACTTACATTTCACTTTTTTTTTAAGGCTTATGTGAGAAAATGAGAAAACTCTTAAGAGCATGACACTAGTTTTTGTCATTTTAAAAACACTAAAATAGATTTTTGTTTTAATCATTTGACCTCACATGATTCAATTAACAATTTTTTTTATAGATAAATAAAAATTATATTCATAATAAACTTTACCTAGACAACTCGTACAGAGAAGATTACATGGGAAAACTAATCGTATAAGTCTTCGCATTCAACAAGTAAAAAAAGTTTGAGCAGTTGATTTGCATAATTTGTAAAAAATATTTACCTTGTTATACAATTTTTTAATTAATTACTTGTATACACTATTTTCTTTCTGACATTAGACAATAAAAGTATCAAATAATTACATGAAGAATAGAGATTATCATTGGCCACTAAATCATTGGCAGTTGAAATAAACGGTTTGACCAAAATGAAGTTGAAAATAAACACCCTATCCTCTTTTTTGGTAAGAATTTGACCTCTAACACATACCAAAAAGTATTCAAGAGTGTCACTTTCATTCTGTTTGGTAACAAAGGCAATGGATCAATACCGAAATTAATTCCCCCAAAAAGTTGTGTCTTCAACTTCAAGTCTTTTAAAATGCAAACCACAATGCCATTTTCATGGAATCTATCTTATATTCTACTTGAGGTTGCCTTTCTTTTCTCCTCTAAACGAAACGAATTAGCACATGTGGTAGTGTATTTAAATCACTAAGCTGTCTTGTTTCTTTTAATCCATATGAGAGAAGACCAATTCATGAGGTTGCCTTTCTTTTCTCCTCTAAACAAAACGAATTAGCACATGTGGTAATGTATTTAAATCACTAAGATGTCTTGTTTCTTTTAATCCATATGAGAGAAGACCAATTCAAAATCCAAATAATAATAATCAACATCAATGGCAGTATTTTGCACTTCTTATATTATTAACCAATTTTCAGTTCTCACTTTCCATTTTGACTGATATTGAAGTGGAGAAAAATTTCACATCTACCCATAAATAGCACTGATGTATAAGCAAGAACTACTATTCCCTTTGTTATGATTAAGAACAAAATCTTTAAAAACATGGATTAATTAAGGCAGATTAAACCACGTCACATTGCACCCAACCTTAAAATCAAACCTTCTTTGTTTTTAAAGCATGGAATTATGTCATTATACATACATATATGTATAGATATAAAAGTGTTTGTTAGATTTTTAAAAAATTAGGAGGATAAATACTCTCAAACTATCTTATTTCAATAAATTGTCATTAAAAAAACTAAAATAGCTTTTTTAAAAACTAAGAATGTAATTGTTTTGGTATTTTCTCATGGTGTTTTATTAGGACAACATAGTTTTGAAGTGTTTTTTCGTTTAACATTTTAGAGATCCAACTAACAACCACTTACTTGTGTGTATATATACAAAACAGTGTTTTTTAAGTTAGACTACACATTAAAAAGTATAATTTTGATGCTAAAATTGCTAGAATGCCCTTAACAAAACTCTTCCTCATATTTATTCATTAATAGTAATTCAAAAATCTTAATGTCAGAATTGCACTTTTAATTTGTAGTTTAACTAAAACACATGAAACTATATTTTACAGAATGTTTTACATGAAACCAAATAGATGTGGAGAAGTATTTTACGAGATCTCTTCAACGAAGGACATTTTGAAAAATATCATATTTTAATTAATATTTTTAAAAATTAACAGTTGCATTGAAGGTTGTTTTAATGTAGATCATGTATATTAATTTTTAAATTGAGCTAATAAGTCTAACTAATTTATTGATTACACAAAATTTAACAATGTTAAATATGTGTTAGTAAATATAGTTTTTTTTATCAAAAATTTATAAATGTTAGATTAATTTAAAAATTGATATGTAAGATCTATATGAGCATACATTAAAATTGCAATTTTGACCCTAAAATTACTAAAATACCTTTATGAAGACTCTTCCTTGTATTTATTCTTCAATGGTGATTTAATAATTTCATTGTTAGGATTGCACTTGTAATGTACAGTCTAACTAAAGTTCATGAAACTATATTTTACAGGATGTTTTACATAAAATCAAATACATGGGGAAGTATTTTAGAAAATATCATATTTTAATTAATAATTTTAAATAAACTAACTGTTAGATTAAAAACTATTTTACTATAGATTATACATGTCAATTTCAAATTAATCTAAATAGATCTAACCAATTTATTGATTACATAAAATTTAATACCATTAAATGTGTATTAGTTTATATAGTTTTTTTCGATCAAAGAGTTATAAATATTAAATTAATCTAAACATTGACATACAAAATCTATTTAAATAAAACTTTTAATTTAATAGTTGGTTTTTCAATTAATTATGGAGTGAGTTTTTGCATACGTCCTAAAAAAATGGAAGGACGACCTACCCTACTTAATTAATATGAGAAAGAATAGAAAATTAAAAATACAAATTAAAAAGAAGATTAATGGAACAATTGCTAGATTTTGGTGTGTAGTTTTTTACTTTTGGTATTCATATATATTTTTTTATATTTAATAATTAATATTATAGTTATAGAGAAAAGTGATAATTAAAATATCTTAATATTTAAAATATTAAAATTGCT